AGTCACTCCATCTCAGCAGTGCAAGTGTAAAAGAGCCTTGGGATTCAAACACACCAATGAAAAACATCGAACCAACAACAGAAATAACAAAACACAGCGCTCTGAGAGCGACAGACAGTATGTAATCAGGTCAACCACCCTTAACCTTTATCTAAACAGCATGTGGTGATTTGACTAACCAATGGCTATCCAGTTTAGCCAGTAAAGAATGCCAGATTGCCCTCCTGTGTCTTCAGTCAGACACAATTAGTTAAATATACCACAGAGACAAAAACTATTAAACAAGTGTCTATAAATAACTAAACACACAGACAGTCTGATAAACCCAGTCCATCGTATATGGTCAGATTGTGTGTGTGTGTGTGTGTGTGTGTGTGTGTGTGTGTGTGTGTGTGTGTGTGTGTGTGTGTGTGTGTGTGTGTGTGTGTGTGTGTGTGTGTGTGTGTGTGTGGTCATCATAATTCACTGCCTCGGGAAAATTGCTTGGTTCGATGAGCAGCGCCATGTAAACATCAAAGGCCATGTGTGTGTGTCTGTGTGTGTTTTGGACCAAACAGTGACAATCAAGAGTTTTCGTTTGATAATTTAAAGGGTTTGTTCATCCCAAAATGAAAATTCTGGAAATTCTGGAACCACTTACTCAATCCCCTGTGGCATTCAAAGACTTATGTTTAACTTCAGAACATAAATGAAAAATATTGTATTTAAATCTTTCATATTGATCAATCTGTGATGCTTCAAAGTTGCTTCCTAAAAGAAATCCATATGATTCAATTGATTTGATCAAAATCTTATTGACCGTAGTGTATGCCTGTGAATGAATGTGTATGGATGTTTCTCAGAGATGGGTTGCAGCTGCAAGGGCATCCGCTGTGTAAAACGTGTGCTGGATAAGTTGGCGGTTCATTCTGCTGTGGCGACCCCAGATTAATAAAGAGACTTAGCTAAAAAAAAATGAATTAATGAATACTGTTACGCCATAAATATTATGGTATTAATATTGTTCTACATATACATTACTATAAAACTGCATGCTATAAAGTCTGTGGTACACAAAAATGTTGGAGACTCTATTCATTTCATTTTAATTGCATGAGCTCTATTAATTTATTGTTGGTGAAGCATTTTTTGACCCCTTACCTTTAATTAGTGGCAAATTTTTGCAATTTATGTTGCATGTAAGCAACAAACACTGTCAATTTAAACTACATACTCTATCTATACTATATAATCTTATATAATCTATTCATCTTAAAAGCTGTCATGAAAAAAAGAATTTGAGGCATTGTAGCTTAGGGTGAGCAAACTAGCAATTTTCACAAGACTATGATTATGCATATTAATGGTTATCTTAATCCTTGAAAGGTTTTTTAGCTGTATGTTCATTTATAAAGCTTCAACACTGCATCAAATTACAAAAGAATTATTACAATTTAATCAAGGTATTGCAGCATCTATGGGAAAGCAAATATATTAGTAATATTGCTTACTCTTCTGGCTGCTTTCCTTGTTTTGAAAGCAATGAAAATGCTGTTGTGGAGTTTTCGTTTATTATTTGAACAAATAAATTATTTTAGTTTTAGATTATTATTAAATACATTTTTTGTGCACAAGTTTACCCAACTAAAACAACTTTCAATGCTGAGAAAAAATGGCCTTTGGAGGGTTTGAAAATCTTTTCATCTATGTTTTAAATATGAACTTTCTATTCTAATTTGGACGATAACCACTTTCAAGGTATACTGTGGTTTGGAAAGGTCAAGGTTTTAAAACCGCCAAAATTTTGTACTATACCATTCCTACGGTATATGTAAGATTTTTTTTATTTATGTTTTTTTAGAACAACAGTATCTCCAGCAACAAAGATCTCCTAAGATGCCCTTTGAAAATGTAAAGAAATCTGTGTTTTTGAAACTAATGAAGACAGCAGAAGTCAATGATACATTATTACTATTTAGCCTAACATATTTACTGCTCCAAATTATTTTAAATGTTACTCAAAATAAAATAAATTGTGTTTAATAGGGAAAAGTTTTTTTTTGTTTGTTTTTTTTAACCATTTTTACCATAATGTTTTTTAACATTTAAAAACAGCATATATTAGAGCAGTTAGCATAATACTGTGAAATATTTATCCAAGATTATCATACCGTCAGAATCTTATACTGGCCCATGCCTAACTCTAATTCTAAAATTACAGAAATTTTATTTTGTGGTAAACAAGCTTCAGCGCATCTGGTTAATAAATTGCCATATCTACCGTCATTCTGAACCCAAATGAAGTGGCCAAAATCATATTGGCTTTCGCTGCATTTTGGTCTTGTGTTTGGTTTTACAGACGTCTGATTGATTCCTGGATTGACCGTGTTAATGGATGCCTGTTGATCCACAGATCAGGAGCATTTGTTCTCACATGATTTTAACTTTTCTGCCAGCTGTCTGGCTGACTAGGAGCGTTTTTGGATCTCGGTCTGCACGGTGGTGTCTTACAAACTGTGGTGTGGTTAACTGCAGTTTTGCTTGGATGTCTCTGCCTGATGGAAATGGCAAGCTTTTACACTTAGTGCAAGGGGAGAAGGGTCTACAAAATGTCTTTATCTACAGTAGGGTTATTTATGAGGTAAATTTTCAACTTCAGAACAAGATTTTTTTTTTCTCTGAATAGAGCTAAAATGTCAGTCTAGTAAATGCCACATTTCTTTTTTTACTTATATGGAGGTATAAGAGCTTTTACTGCTGTGCCTCAGCTTTTGGCCTTGATTTGACTGAGAGTGTTGTATGAAGTACTGGATAATTGCTTGTTGTGCTCAAAGTTATGTTTTTTTTTTCTTTATGTGAGTATTCATAAATTTATATATCCACTAATATGCCATTTCAAGGTGAGAGTTCTCCTCTCCACATTCTTTTTTTGCTGATATTTTCTAAATAAAGCTAAAGTAAAGCAAAAGAAGTTGTCTGTTACCAAAAACAAATTCCCTAAGATTGTTGGTAAAACTTTAAAATAATGGTATATTTATTAATGGATTTACTAATATGAATAAACAATTAAACATACATTAACTTCAGTAGTTAATGAAAGTAAAGTTGTTGATCATTAGTTCATTGACGCACTTCAGCAGTGTTTATTTGAAGGGCACCAGAATATCTGCGCTTGAGCAGCGTATATTTGAGGGGGCGTGCAGAAGTTTTGTGCATGAGCAAAGGAAATCGACGCGCAAGCAAAGAGATTCGCATGCTGTAGGCTATTACACAAATACGATCTCGACTTGTAATACTGCGCACATGAGATTTGTCATTGAAATAATGACACAGGTAGTTGGTATTTCTGTGTAAAAAAAGGCCTGTCCCCACAGCTAGAAAAAATCCTAGAGAAAACTCTGAATTATAATTTATGAAAGTAATAACTTGACTTAAATCCTCAAAAGTCAGATGCTTTAATTGTAAATTAATAGTGTTTAAAAAAAACTGTATCGCATGCCTATATAACACTAATACAAATTAGTTGTATGTGCGTAAGTTCCCTGAAGTGACTGCATTGATCAATAATGTAAACAATGTTCAGTCATGATTATGCATGATGTGTTGTTTTGCTAATTTCAGTAACAACTCTGGAGGGACCAGCTAGAGACCTTGTATTTAATTTTAGAATTAAGCGAGTAGTGCACAAACACAGGCTGATTTCTTTTCTCTCGAGACTGGCGCTTTAAAATAAGAATGTAAAACACACTGCTTATTAATAACACGATGCAGAGTGTTGCAACAAAAAAAGTGAGTGCTACAGATTCAACACTGACTATTTTGCTTTTTGATTGATGTGTTCCGAATATATAAAACTTAGTATTTTAATTAATTGCAAAAGCATTAAAGAAAAAGATTAATTGTTATCATTTATGAATACATTTTAAAATAATAAATACTGGGCGGCACAGTGTCTCAGTGGTTAGCACTGTCATCTCACAGCAAGAAGGTCGCTGGTTCAAGTCTCAGCTGGACAAGATCCGGGTTCCCTTACAGTCCAAAGACCTGCGCTATAGGTGAATTGGATTAATGGATTAGCCATAGTGTATGAGCGTGTGTGTGTGTGTGTGTGTGTGTGAATGTGAAAGTGTAAAGGTGTTTCCCAGTACTGGGTTGCAGTTGGAAGGGCATTCGCTGCCTAAAATATACGCCGTTAATTTTGCTGTGGCGACCCCTGATAAATAAGAGAATAAGAAGACTCTATGACATAGTAGGATAGACAAAAATAGCTGTGAATGCTTATGATTATTACTGTAATATTTATCAGAATATAAACATGGGTTTGAGGTATTTTTTAAAGGGATATTTTACCCCAAAAATTATTTCTTAACTTTTGACACTATTAAGTGGTTCTAAATGTTTATGAATTTCTTTCTTTACCATGGAAGTCAAAGGCTGCTTTTTTTAACATTCTTCTGAATATCTTTTGTGTTCAAAAAAAAAAAAAAGTAAAAATATTATTGAAAATTTATCTCATTTAGTTGAACTATCCCTTTTTATGTAGCCGAATAACAATAACTCCTGTTTGAACAAATTTGACAACACAAATATTTACACTGTGCAATCCAAACAAATACTCTACCTCTGCTTAAAAGTGGATAAGCTCGATACATTATAGACCCTGTTTAATCCCGTATTTAGTGCCATCCGCTTGTGATCGGATTGTCTAAAACTCTCATGCATCATCAGGTTTCCCTATTGTAGGCAAAATGTGACTTCCACACATGCTCATTTTCATCACATTGGCACGCACAACCACACATATGCCCTCTCACACACTCTCCGGAGCCAAAGGGCATGTATGTTTACATTTTGGGGTAAAAAAAGAAACGGTATGAACAAAAGGGCAGTTTCACCATCCGCTAGGCCTTACGGTTTCACATGCACATACGCGCGTGCAAATATCAAACTGTCAATCTCAGTTTTCACAGAGGCGATCATTACTCATTTGTCCATCATCTCTCTCCCTCTGATATTTTCAGGTTTGGAGATGAGCGAGGCTACATTCTCTACCCTCAGATAGGTGATCGCCTGGACCTTGTGTGTCCTGCCACGAGTCCCGCGGGACCAAACTCTCCTCCTGAGTATGAGTTTTATAAACTGTACCTGGTGTCCACACGAGAGCAGGCCGACAGGTGTGAGGTGATGGGGGCTCCGAATCTGCTGCTCACCTGCGACAAACCCAACAGCGATATGAGGTTTACCATCAAGTTCCAGGAGTATTCGCCCAATCTGTGGGGTCACGAGTTCAAGAACTTACGAGACTACTACATTATTGGTAAGTACTGGTGAACATACACAAGTACAAATAACAAACAACCGGAATTGCTGTCCATAATCATATAGGCTTCTGCAAATTTTCTTGTTGTGATTAACTGCTAAAGTTTTTATCATGGTTTACGGTATTATGACACAAAATATAATATAACAGGCATAATAACTCAAAGTATTATATTTCTTCATTGTATTTACACGGATATACAAATGAGCAAATTATATTGCTGAAGGATTATAAAGTACAACAGGTAACACTTCTCTTTGTTTTCTTTTGCAAACCAGTCGTTCTAACGTTAGCTTGAACTGTTAGCATAAAGATATGCATGGCAGGTATGTCGCATCATGTCACAATGATTGACTGGGCACTGAACCAGTGACTGTTTACAGAGAGTAATAAAACAACAATGTGTAAAATAGATGAATAAACGTCACCATATCGAATGAATCATGAAGCTGTTGGCTAAATTCTCCATCAATCAAACTGGAAATAAATTACTGGCTAAAAGTGACTGACAGATAGCATAATAATATTCGCAGGATGATGAAGATTTAACCACGGTGGACATTTCAGCAAGACAATGATCCAAAACACAGCCAAGGAAACACTCAAATACTTTCAGAGAAAGAAAATAAAGCTGTAGAATGGCCTGGCCAATCACCTGACTTGAATACAATAGAAAATCCAAAATAAAGATCAGATTTGGTAGACGTGACCCATAGAACCATCAAGACTTTTACACTCTGTTGAACTGAGCAATGCTTGTAATTTCTCCATATAAGAGGCATCCTTAAGCTGCTGTCACCAAAAAAGCATTTTTATGAAGTATAAAATGTTTCAGTCGTTCACTATTTTCTCCTTGTGTCATTTCATTGTTATTACACATAACTAGTTTTTGTTTTATTTTTATATTTGCATTGTTTGGGTGTTTATCAAAATCTGGTTCATGATCTGGTCCAAAAAGGAAAAAAACATGACGTGTTCAATCATTTTCCCCCCTGTACATTGTCTATATGTGTATAGTAATAATTTTTGCATACAGAATGGGAACCATTTGTTGGTATTATGTCTCCATTTTCTTTTCATTTAGCCATTATTAATGTTGTGACTATAATGCCATGCTTGGGTTTAATATCTTCCAGGCTGCTCTTACTCAAAGGCTCAAGCTTAGTCATGTTTAATAATCCCATAACCCCAATTTTTTTGTCACGCTCTGTTATAACTATTCTTAAGGCCCTGATATACCAAGCCAATAGCTGGTCATTGTTGAGCATTGGGCAGCTTAGTTTTTACGGTGTGTTTCACAGTGTCTGCACTATAGTCGGACCACATCAGGGGGGTTTTGACCCATTTAGCATGTTGAATAGGACTCTGTTGGAGATGGTGCCATTTGTTAGAGAAAGAACTTTAACTGGCTGTTTAACATGAGTCACGTGGAATCAAGAAAGTTGCCATTAGTAAAGCATGTTTAATTAAGATATTTGGATAAATAAATGAAATGTATGCATAAAATCATAAACTCCTAATATTTTTCCTGTCATTGACAGGATTTTCAGTCATTTATGATGCAACTCTTGCTTGTCATTGCCTAAATCATCACACATATTGGTAAAGACAGCCGTTTTTATAGCACACAACCTTTCTCAGACTTTTACAGTGTATGTAAGTAAATCAATTTATTTACATCCATCAAGAAAGTTTAGATTGGTTGTGTGCTAAGGCTGTATAATAAGCCATTGTAGTTCTCCAGTTGACTGCCATTTAATATGAATTCGAGAGCTTTAATTTACAATGATTAATTATTTAAAAAGGCTCAAGCCCAAAAATATAATTTGAAATAAAGCGATCATTTCTTCTGTAGAATAATTGGAACGGACAAACATTTTAGGGAGCATTTGCTAATTACCCAAGTGCAATAATAACACACGTCAGCCGGAGGGGTTCAGTCCCGTCAAATTTACCTCACAGTCGCTCCACCAAGAGATAAATCCATCGATAAAACACAGAGTATGTGAGAGTGTTACTGTTTGTTCCCTAGGGAAATCACTTTTAATTAACCTGTGTTGGCAGTTGTTAATTTCTACAATATGCTCGTAATGAGAAAGAGAAAGACAGAGCACCGGGTGCTGTGCAGTTTTACACACGCTTGTGATTATGTGGGTCTTAATTGGCTGTAATGGGCCTGTGAGACTCAAGGGCATTTAAGAGCAGCTAGACACAACAGCCCTACCAGTAGCAAACACACAATGTGTCTTTTCTTTTCCCAAATACAGTAGCGATCAAAATTAGAGGACAATTTATAATTGTTTTTCTGAAATAATGTAACCTTTAGTGTTTCAAAATATTAGTGTGTTTTAGTTGAGGCTGTAGAAAGTTTTTTTACAAAATAACCAAGGCACTAAAATCCTATTTTTGTGCAAAACTGTTTTTTAACCATAGACTTTAAAAGATATAACGTAGTATCCGTGGCATCAACATATAGGCGTGGCCATCCGTCAACATTTTGTTTGTACATCATAACGCCGACTTGGCGTTACCAAAAAAAGGGGCAAAGAGGGGGAAAATGATCGGAGCTACAGACGCCTGCTAGCATTTTGCTCAGACAGGCATTTCTTTGGGAGAAACGCTTAATACATGATTACCTACGACTTCTTTGTGTTCTGACCACATGTGCTTGGTTGTACACTAAATTAGTAAAGTGTTTAGTCTTTTAAAAACACCATTGTAATACACTGAGCCACTAAGCATGGTTCTTATGGCATTTTTCTACAAGAGCATAACGCAAATTACTTCCAAATACTTCAGCAGTCTGTATTTGTAAATGTAAGGCTATTTATGAAATCCAGGCATAACACTGTATGACAACGGTTCAGATGACTGTTTTATTGCCTACAGCTAATCAATCTGTCAGATTCTGGAGTGCATTTAAATTTCTAAAAAAATTACAAATGATAAATGATCTTAAATAAAACAAATGCATTTATAGATATGCTATACAAGTATATAATTTCACTCACCTGGGAAATAGAGGCCACTTGAGTGGTGTATGAACACAATTAAGTGCACAGCATGCCATATTATCTGATAATTGTTGGAAGTAATTCCTAAAGGCAATTGACTGTGTAAAGCCACATAAAACAAAACAAAAAAGCTATGTATATGCCAAGTTCAGTGGCTAACCAGCCAGAATCAGCTGAGGTGAAGTGACGGCGATCTGCGTGACCTAGCTGTCACTTAAGTGGCCACACCATTAATTATGCAGACTTAGCATAACTTAATATAATCGAAACGGATGAGTTATAAAAAAACACCCTCTCACAGTTGTCATAAAGTGCAATATTAAGTATATACACCAAATTTATTTTTTTGTACCAGGCTGTAAAGTTGGCCATTTTTACATTGGGGTCAATAAAGATGTGCTCTACTATGAAGCTAGGCCTAGCAGAATTTCGATGAATTGCAGTTTCTGTTACTTCTGTTAGCTACACAAGGAAGAGCGGGATGTTGCCAGTTTGTGTTCAACTTAGCGAACAGCATTGATTGTAGGACAAAGAATGATCATTTTAAGAAATCATTAATCTCTCGCAGGACATCATAAGTTTCTTAAAAGTCATCACTAGGATACCAATGACTATAATGGATTTCTTAGCCATAGTGTTTTTAATCAAGTTTAAATCAGAACTTCGTTCTGCCATTTCATTTTTTTATGTTTTTAGTTTCAAAGAGCTGCTCTAGCTGTGTGCAGGGGCTCATAGCCATGCTGATTGGGTGATAACTGCAAGAAAGAAACCACATATTGCCAAAGAAGCTTATGTTATGTTTATAGGAGCTTATGTTTCCCATCGGAACCAAATAAATTAAACTCACTTTCATCACTCAAATAACACAACATCTGTCCACACAACACATTCTTCAACAAAGGTTTTTGATTCTTTCTGCTGATCAGAGGTTTTTCACTGTGGGTTTTCAGTCCAGTTTCTCTCTGTAGCACTAAACTGAAGAGCGATTCTATCTAACACACCATCCATTGAGATTATCTGCGTTATTTTGTCTTCTTTTACATTTGACGACCAGTCATTTTGAAAGATCTGATTGAGTTACAATGTAATACTGCAAAATTGAAATCACAGATTTGGAATGACCAACTTCTCTTGGTATGGGTGAAAGGATCATCGCTTTTGCCTTCAACTGAACAACCTGCTGTCAGCAGATTTGAGGCACTTGAGAATGCTCACAATCTTTACAGCGCTTCAGAATGTATGTAACTCATTAAAAATAAATGGGGGCTTTATAAAACTACCCTTTTACTTTATCAATTCATCATATAGGACTAAGCAGTGACCTCGAAAGATAAGAAATCGAAGGATGCTCTCCAATTTTGATTTCTACCATATCTATACTCTTATCTATGCTCTTTTAGATCACAGCTGTGAACTATTTATGTGTTTTAATACAGCATAAAAGCACAGATGATGAGTGTGGGTTTTAGCGCTTTGGTCCTGGTGTGTGTGGATTGGAGTGATGCTTTTAGCTGCTGGTTGTTTCCCCTGTGATCTGCACTGTTTGAAGCCGAGATCTTCTCCCTACTGAGTGTGTATCAGAGTGTATCAAACGCTCCGAGCTCTTTTGTCAAAACTTTGATCACTGGGCGCTAACTGAGTTCCCAGGGGAGCACTTTACCCTAAAAAGCGTTCGAAAAAACCTACTGCATTAGAAATCCCTCTCCAAAAACCTCCCTTTCGCATTCACGTTCGGCGAAGCGCAGTCAATAATTCACAGTAGCTGCATCGCTGGAAGATTAAAAGTGTTTTACCTTGGCCTTACATGAACGTCTTTGTTTGTCCGTCCTACAGCTACTCGTCAGTTTGTGTGTGCATGTTTATGTGTGTGTGTTTGTGTCACATTGGTTTAGAGTTGTGGTGAGAGCTTGTTAATTATTGAAAAGGTCTCGTTGGTTTATTTATCAAGGTTAAGCTGAAATATTAGAGATGAACTCTGCTCCC